AGCGCCAGGCCCGGCAGGAATGTCGGGGGTCCCCCTGTCCGGAGCGGGGCTGTACCCAGCGGGTGTGAGGGAACCCCAGCCTAGGCAGAGACCAGGAGCGAGCGCAGGAGCACGTCTTGGCCGGTGCTGCCCCGGCACTTGGCGGATGGTCAAACCGTGGTGGTGAAACGGTGTTCTTGGGGCTGTAACTGCACTGAACCAGAATTGCTTATTTCTCCAGGCCTTCCTAGCTTCCTGGGGGCAGAACGTGTTGGATCTACCTGGTACTCCTGGAAAAACCTTTGGCTGTGAAATAACAGGTTTAAAGCGTGGCCACTTTCCTCAGGTCTTTTTGGCTGTGGGAGTGTCTACGGCACCTGGAGGTCAACCCTTGCATGTTAAAACGTCAGCCCTGACCCTCCGTTAGGTTGCGGTTCCTCTCCATGGTGTGAGCAGTTAAGAGCGTTGCTGCTGAAGGAGGAGCTTCAGTCTCCCTTCCTCCTGCTTTATCTGCAGGGAACCCGTTTTTGGGCTGACAGAAGGCTGGTGAAATTGCCCGTGGGAGGTCCTGATGAAGAGCAGGGTGCTCGCAAAGGAAGGGAGATGACATCTGACTAGCTCAACTGCTTGTGGAAATGCAGCCTGCCTCAGTCAAGTCTTACTTAGAATACTTGTACGCCATGGCAGAAAACTTGGAATTCAAGAGCTGTCTTTTTGTTTGAAGTTTGGTGGAATACTGGTTTAGCTTTCAGCCTGCTGCTGGCTGATAAACCCAACTTCTGTGCTGAGAAGCATGCTAGATTAACTTCTTTCTGGAGCAGGGAAAAAAGCTACGGTGGTTGGTTTTGCACTTAGGGTTTGATTTGTTTTGCCATTGTTCTTCCTACTGATGAAACTGCAGTTTGCTCTTTCGGGTGGGTGACATCTGCTGGGTTTGTACCCGGAGAGTTTGTGTAGCTCAGGTGAAGGAAGAAACTGCCGTGCCTTTCGGTCCGTGTGCTATCAGCGGGGAATTTCAGGGCCATCCAAACCTGGATCAGAAGTTACAGAGAGAAATTCACAGCGGGGGAGTTGAAATGTTGCTGTAGTTCCTCATAGAAATTCCAAGTTGCTAATACAAAGGGATGTTTCAGTCCACAGGCAGCATACTCTCTGAAATTAATGTCCTAATGAAGACAGAAGTTCCGCTGTCCCAGCCAGTCATGCAAGTTTTCAGTGGTTTTGGTGGTGGTGTAAGAGGAAGGGGGGGAAAAAAAAAGAGGCATTCTAGACTTGCCCATTTCTTTTTTTAAAATCCCAAGTTTTAATGATGTCATATAATGGTTTTGAAATTCAGTTATATTTATAAAGCATAATTATTTAATTGGATAAGTGGGGTTGGAATGCACCAGGACAGTTTTATTTGGATCACGAAACCTTTTTGTATATGTTTTTGTATTTTTAGGAGCACAAAAGTCTTCAATGTTTGTCCTGCAATTTTGATGGAACGTGTTGTAGTAAGCATTTTCTGCAGTGGTTTGCAGCCCTCGCTGTCAGGCATGCAAAGCTGCTTTTCCAGCTCCCTAACTAAGAAGTAAAATCCTCCCTGGTAAAGGAGAGGGACCAGAGCAAATATTTCTTGCACTGTGAATTTCCATGTACTAAAAGATGGAGAACTGTCATTTCGGTTTTGTTTAACACGCGAGCAAAACTGTGCTGCTACCGTGGCTAAAAGCTGTGAGTGCCAGTTGGAAAGAGAGAGCTGTTCATAAACAGGAAGACTCAAGAGTATGGGGGCAAAATCATCCTCTTCCTGTCATCCCATTCTGTTTAGCAGTAGGAGAAGGGTGGAAGAGAAACCTTGGTTGTTCTAGCCTTGAGAGGCACCCCAAAATGACTTTCTTCTTATAGAAAATGAAGTTTCTGAGTGGGATCTGCGGTCTTATAGGAAACATTAGGGGGTAAAGTGAAGTCATTAGACCGTTTCCCTGGGACTTTGTCCCCAGCTGTAACGGTGGCTGCCTTCTGCCTGATGACCTTAGTCCTGAGGTTGAGTAGAAAAGCTGGCAACTTTTCCAAACTCTCCTTAACCAAACAAGCAGGGGGAATACCCCTCCTCCTCCTCACTGGTGGAGCGTGGGAGGTTTGCTTATACCTCTCAAGAATGGCTCTTACTGTGAAGTCTTGCTGGGACTGCATCTGTCCTCTTGTGAAGGGGACTCAGAACTGACCTTGCCTCTCTTCCCCATAGTTATCTTTGCTTTGGCATCGATTTTATTGCCACTCTCGTCCCGTGCAGCTCTTCTTTTGGCTCCCACGTTCTCCACCCTCAGTGAAGGCTCCCTTCACTGAGACTTTCTGGTACAAAGGAGTACATGATAAATTCTCTTCCTGTGGGTCCTGCCCACAAGGAGAGATTGCTGAGGCATGGATGCTGTGAGAATGCAATTGGAAATAGAGATTGCGGATGAGTAAAAACGGTTAATGGCTTAGTTTCATGATAATTAATTTGACGTATTTTAACTTTGTTCTGAGTAGCGCAACGATCACAGACTCACCTGGTTATTGACAAGTGTTACAAGAGGGAAGCTAACTTTTTAAGGGCGTGGTGACTCCCCTTTGTCTTTGCAGGTGGAGCAAAGAGCCATATCACATCTTCTGTAGCTACAGAAATTCTGAAGCTGGGCTTTTTCAGTCACCTTTAATATCGCCCTCTAACAGCAGCGGTGCATAAGGTTTGAAACTGTAAGCATTGGGCGAGTTGAGCAAGCAGAGAGTCATCTCATCTCAGGAGGGCGTAGCAGCTGGGTATCTTTCGTGCAAACCCAGTTTCTGGGTATTGCACCTGTCAGAAAAGATGTCAGTGTTGGACTGTTGTTACGAGTACATGAGTTATTTTCATTCCAAGTCCTTCGTGGGTTTGGCAAGCCGCCTTTTCCAGTCCAAGAAGGGTTCTGTCTGGACACTGGGCCGTTCTTGCGCCTGCCATCTGCTCGCCAGATACCCCAGCTACCTGGGGGGGCTGTGAGAACCCAGCTGAGGCTCTCTCTTCAGGATGCTGGAGAAGAGAATCGGTCCTTCCCTCACTGAGCCGTGTCTCAGACGGACATCGTTTGTTATGGCTTCCCAGGAGGAGAAATAAATGTTATTAGTTCGGTTACCATCTTTCTTCTCTTTCCTAGGATACGATGGAGCTCCTAGAGGAAGATCTCACCTGTCCCATTTGCTGTAGCCTGTTTGATGATCCTCGTGTCCTGCCCTGTTCACACAATTTCTGCAGAAAGTGTCTTGAAGGAATCCTGGAGGGAAACGTGCGGAATGTCCTTTGGAGGCCGTCCCCTTTCAAGTGCCCCACGTGCAGGAAGGAAACTCCCGTGACTGGAGTCAACAGCTTGCAAGTCAACTATTCCCTGAAGGGTATCGTGGAGAAGTATAACAAAATCAAAGTAACTCCCAAAATGCCAGTGTGCAAAGTGCACAGCGGGCAACCCCTTAACATTTTTTGCCGGACAGACATGCAGCTGATCTGTGGGGTTTGTGCCACCCGTGGCGACCACACAAAGCACGTTTTCTGTTCTATTGAAGAAGCATATTCCCAGGAGAAACGGGCTTTTGAAACCCTGTTTCAGGGCTTTGAAACCTGGCGTTGTGGAGATGCCCTCTTGCGGCTGGACACCTTAGAAACCAGCAAGAGGAAAGCTCTGCAGATGCTGACCAAAGATTCTGACAAGGTGAAGGAGTTTTTTGAGAAGCTGCAGCACACGCTGGAGCAGAAACGAAATGAGATTCTCTCTGACTTTGAGACTATGAAGCTTGCAGTGATGCAGGCCTACGATCCGGAAATCAATAAACTGAACACAATTCTGCAAGAGCAGCGGATGGCTTTTAACATCGCAGAGGCCTTCAAAGATGTGTCGGAACCCATTGTATTTCTGCAGCAGATGCAGGAGTTCAGGGAGAAAATCAAGGTGCTCAAAGAAACCCCTTTACCTTGTTCCAGCGTGGACATCAGCCCTACAATGAAGAGCTTTGATACCAGCCAGTGGAATGGCATAAAACTGGTTGACGTGGACAAACTTTCCTTGCCTCAGGAAGACAACACTGTTAAATTCAAGATTCCCTCGGTCTTTTCCCGCAGGTTTATAGCGACCTCTCTTCTCTGCTTGCTTATCCTGGCTGTCACCCGAATGTCCTTTGTGGAGTCAGTTGTCGACAATCTCCAGTGCTGGAAATCTCAGTTCTTTACAATCAGCTTGTCCTATTTGGCAGATACGGTGGAGATTGCGGATCATGCAGTCTTTTACTGGGAACAGATGACAGACGGAGCCTCACTTCTAAGAGAAAAGTGTAAAAACTATACCTTGGTTGTACTGGATAATGTTGCACAGTTTGTGTGCAAATATAAACTGTTGTGAGGTCCCTGCTGAAACAGAAGAACCGAGAGGGATCTGGTGAAGAAAACATGGTACTTTAAAAAATTAATTGTTTTTTTAAGACTTCCCTTGACAATGTTCAGAGGTTCAAAATGTTTCTGAACCATTTGTACTGTTCACGTAGCGTGAGCACTGATGAACAGGAAGATGAAAGGGAGCTTTTGAAAAACCATACTGTTTCTGGATTCTTCTTTCAGTGGTGATTATGGGAATATTATTCACTGTAAATAATTTTTCTTACCAAAATAGAAGGCCAAACTGTGCACTTAGTTTAATGTAACCGTAGAATAAGATAAAAAGTGTCACTTCCTCAGAGATCATAGTTAATTCTTAATTCTTTTTTTTTCTCCTAACTGGGAGGCGGTTTGGAAAGAGGAAGAACAGTTGCGACTGAGAAGGGCACTGCCCTGAGGGGCTTGTTGAGGGCTGCCCTTCCACTGCAACACCATGCGCCTTCTGGAACCACTTTCTGTCTGAGGCTGTTATTCTCACTTGAAATAGATGTATTCGTTTGTATAACCCACTGTTGTACTTGCCCTGCACGTTGGGATTTCGGTAGACACCGGTTATTGTTTACATGTTCTACACAAAAATGTATCTTCAGGGCAAGTGTGGATTCTAGGGGGAGAGAGAAATCAGTTGAGGTTGGTAAGAGAACAACAAGCTGCAGGATGGCCCGTACTTTGCGGATAGAGCGTACTTTGCAGTTTACTTTTCCAGCATCAAATTGTTGGGGTATCTGAGCTGCCTCATTAGATCCGCGTTTCTCTGAAGCCACGTTCTCTGAACTGGCGGCCTTCGTGGCAGCAGTTCGGCATGGTGGAAGGCACGCACGGGTCGGCCTCCGGAAGGCAGCAGGCGCTCCGGCCCTGCAGAGGGGGCAGGTAGGGCAGTTTCTGTCCTCTGTCTCTCCAGATTGTAATTCCAAGAGCTGGGGAAAAAGGTGGGATGATTCCTTGGAACACGTAATGTGATAGGTGCGTGGGTGTTGGTGGTGTTTGGAAGTGCTTCGGCACTGGAACACATACCGGCTCTTGTACCGTGACTGTATTTCCGTGTACCTTGTTCCAGGAGGGAATTGATTTTTCTGAGCGTGTTCAGTTGGCCGCAGGATACGGTGGTTTCAAGCGAGCTGCAAGCTTGAGTTCCCTGAAGCGCCCTTCTCTAAGAGCACACAACACTGAAATCTACCGCTTGAAGCAGCGGTCCCGTGAACAGCGAAACACGGGGTGAACGCGCTCAGTTGGCATCTCCGGGAAACAAACGTAACGTGTGCCCTACTTCAGGGATATTCCTTGGCCTCTCTCAAGGCTTAATAAGTTGTGACAGTCAATTTACTGTCTTCCAACAGTCCTTGCACGCCATTCATTTCAAAACCGACACATTAAATTCCAAGAATCGAAGTTTCCAAGCAACCAAGCCCTGCAAACAAAACCATTGTACGTGCTATTTACACCCTTGTCGCCCGGGAGTCCTGTCGCTGCTCCACACCTCGCTCCAGACACTCGCTCCGAGCACCGGCTGGGTCTTGCAGCTGCAGATGCCTGGCAGTTTAGGAAAGGGCAAGTCACAAACCGGGAGTTGCCATTCTTGTGCGGCTGAGATAGCGATGAGTAACCGAGAGGTGGTTGTTCTGAGTGTGGGAGGTGTGAGGTTTGTAACCCGGGCTTCTACCTTGCAGCAGTTCCCCGAGTCCAGGCTAGCACGGATGTTGAACGATGATGACCGGGAATTTAAACTGGTGAATGGAGAGTTTTTTGTGGACAGAGATGGAACTTTGTTTAGTTACATCCTGGACTTCTTGAGGACTCTCCAGGTCTCCTTACCTACTGATTTCTCAGACTGGCAGAGGCTGCGGAGAGAAGCAGAATTCTATGGGCTCTGCTCTCTGGCTGACCTCCTGAGCCAGGAACACTTGCTGAAGCCGAGACTGGAGATCTTGGAAGTGCGTTTCTCTTTCCAAGAGATGCAGGCCTTTTTCCGGATCTTTGGCTCCTGCAGTACCACTGTTGAGACGCTGGCTGAACAGATCGCTGTGTTTATGGGGCAGCAGTCGGGACAGAGCTGGAACAGTCCTTTTCCTTCTCAGAAACCACTCCTTCCACTTCCTTTGGAAAGACCTTCTCATCATGATGTGGTTTTTCAGTGTGGTACTGACTACTCTGCTGGTGACCAGTTTGTGGCCAGGTACCCTCTCTAGTGTGACTTCCCATGATGGAAACGGCTTCCTGACTTGTAGTTCATGGAGTACGTGCTGCGCGCTAACACAGCTCGTTTTAAACAGGCTGTTGGACAGCTGTCTGAGAGAAATGTTTCATGTTACCATTTTCTGGTTCGGAAATACCCGGTTTAATTTCTGCTATGCTGATTTGCCTTTTCTTCAGCTTTCTAAAATGCTGTTCTCAATGCTTGTTTCTGAGTTGTTTTGGATCTCTCTCTGCCCTTTCCTCCTCGCACGCTTTCCCAAACTTTAGAATTTCACGACATCAGTGACCTTCTAGAGGACTTGAAAAACACAGAGTAAAATGAAGCAAGGGAAATAAATAAGGAGTGAACGACTGGGGAAGCCTAAAATCTTCACTAGCTCATGGTCCAAGAGACTTTCATATGGAAAAGGTGGAAGGTGTCCCTGCCCGGGGCAGGGGGGTTGGAACTGGATGGTCTTTAAGGTCCCTTCCAACCCAAACCACCCTATGGTTCTGTCATTCTATGAAAAGAGGAAAAAGAGAATGGCTAAGCAGGGCTGAAAACCCCAGTGGAACTAAGATTGCATTTCAGGGACTGGAAAGCTTCTGCAGAAAGCTTTCACTGGGGG